TCCACTATGGCCACTGTCACTCCTACTCAGGGCATTCCTTTGCTCATTACCAATGCTCAAGTCCGCAAGGTTCAGGGGGGCGATGATACCTTCATTCCTATTCCCGGTATGGAGGAGGCCAGTTTGAAGATATATCAATCTCAGGTACTTCTCCCTTTCTCTCTAGAGAATGGTTCTATCCATGCTTTTCTTGGTCCTTTTGCCGGTCAAAATAATAAGAGGTTTGGTAATACCCTTCTTCACCTATTGAGCATAGGCTTTGCAAAAAGCTTATCCGAGTTCACTCTTTATGTGAAACATAAGGAACATAATCTTCTCATAGTTTCCCTCTATGTTGATGATCTTTTAGTGACTGGAGATGACACAAAACTAGTTGAGGAGTTCAAACAAGAAATGATGCAAGCCTTTGAAATGACAGATCTTGGTCACATGACCTATTTTCTTGGAATTGAGATAAAACAAAGTGTGAATGAAGTTTTTATCTGTCAAAGAAAATATGCAAAGGAAATTTTGAAGAAATTTCAAATGGAGGAATGCAAATCTGTTAACACACCAATGAATCAAAAGGAGAAGTTGAGCAAGGAAAATGGTGCTGATAAAATTGATGAAGGATATTATAGGAGCTTGATTGGATGTCAAATGTATCTCACTGCAACAAGGCCGGACATTCTATTTGTTGTAAGTCTCTTGTCTCGTTTTATGCATTGTGCAAGTGAAATGCATTTAAAAACAGCAAAAAGAATATTGAGGTATGTTAAAGGCACTATTGATTATGGTGTCAAATTTGAGAAGTGTCAAGAATTCAAATTGTACGGATTCTCTGATAGTGATTGGGCTGGATTTGTTGATGACATGAAGAGTACTTCAGGATATTATTTCAGCCTAGGCTCTGGAGTTTTCTCATGGTGCACAAAGAAGCAAGAGATTGTAGCACAATCTACTGCTGAAGCTAAATTCATAGCTGCAACAGCAGCTGTAAATCAAGTTTTATGGTTGAAGAAGATTTTAAGTGATTTACTTTTACACCAGAAGAACAAAACTGAAATTTTTGTTGACAACCAAGCAGCAATTGCTATTGCAAACAATCCAGTGTGTCATGGGAAAACTAAACATTTCAATATCAAGCTCTACTTTTTGAGAGAGATGCAGCAAAGTGGAGAAGTAAACTTAGTTTACTGCAAGACTGAAGATCAACTAGCTGACATATTTACAAAGTCATTACCTATCAGCAAATTTGAACTTCTAAGGAAAAGAATTGGAGTTTGCAGTTCCTAAAGCAAGGAGGAGTGTTAAAACTGTGCTTTTGTAACTGAAATATAGTTATTATTATTTTTATTAATCATTAACAGAGTCAATAAGTGGTTCCTAAACGTTAGGAGCAAGATAATTATGTTTTAATTTTGCTGAAATTCTGGTTAGGTGCATTTTGTTTTCAAATTATATATTGTACTACAGCTCATTGAAATAAAGTGTGAGAGAATCAATTATTCCTTTTACTCTTCCACAATACGTATTGTCTTCTTCTCTCAGTTTTACGATTCTCACCATAAAACCTTCACATTATCTGATAATAAAGTTTTTGTATGAATATTTGTGCTAAGCCATGTTGCAAAATTCTCATCTAGATTTTTCAGAAGAACAATCCTTTGATATCAATAATTGTGTTACTTTTAAATTTAAGTTTCAATTTGTATACAGTTATATCAAGAAGAGTTGCTATGGTACTCTTAAGTATATGAGTTTTGGGGCCAATATTTGAACGAGTTTGAGCACACAAGTGCATAACATTTGGCAATTTCAATAGAAAGATTTGCATCTATAAATGCCTTTTTATTGGGAGCAATTATGAATTGGCCAATGTTAATCTTTAACTTTTTATACATTGGCATATATAACATGAAGGCTCTGACATAGTTTTGCGAGGATATATGCTGCTTGGAGTTCGAGGACCATCTAAGCTTCTGAATAAGAAATCTCCCTTCATGGTGACTTTTTCCCCATTCTTCATAAATGTTAGTTTTCTTTTATGTGGCTTGTGGTTTTAATTTTAACAAAAGCAGGTCAAAATGAATTCATCTAAATTCTTATTTTTTAAATTTTTTTTTGAAGCTCGTCTAATTTCTTTGAACATGATCCTACCGTAATTGTTAACTTTCAAATCTATTTATTATATAAAAGTTGAGCTATGTAATTATATATTGTCACATTGCTACACTAACTTTTTTTTATTATATTAACTTATTTGCTTATGTGTCAATACCTATAGAATTTTGACTTTTGTATTATGTCTTTATTTTTTTAAATGCTCCACAAAATTCTCATATTCTTCATGTAATTTTCTTGGGATCCTTCCTTTAAACACACTTTGAGACTAGGCAACTATGTTGTAGATTGATTGGATAAAGAGGGACTTTTCGTTTTTGTGAATGCTCTAAACT